CCCAAAAATGGGGGTACATTTCGGAGTTTCTGTATTCTTTGTTTTTTGTTTGGTAGGTCTATCAGCTAATGCCAAGGTATTCAACATCGGTTCTCCTCCAGGGTCTGATATCACAAAGGTCAGTTCTAACATCTTGTTGATCAACATATATTTCATGTTCTCCAAGCAACTTAAAATCATTACAATGCAGGCATTGTTGAAAGCATTCACTGAGGCATGCCAGGCCCCGACCAAGAGCACCGTTATGATTCCAAAAGGGGAGTACAAGCTTGGAGAGATCGAGATGACAGGTCCATGCAAACGTCCGATAAGGATTGCTCTTCAAGGCACCGTGAAAGCTGACGGTAACTTGATTAATGGCAAGGAGAAATGGGTGGCTTTCCGCAACATTGATGGGTTTAAGTTGAACGGAGGTGGTGTCTTTGATGGTGAAGGCAACAATGCATGGAGGTCTAACAATTGTCACAAGACTTTTAACTGCAAGAAACTCCCCATCGTATGCATCTAGCTACCTACATATTTATATATATGTTTGATAACTGCGTAAATACTTGTGTTTGTGATGGTTTGTGTCATTTGTTGCAACAGAGCATACGATTCGATTTCGTGACTAACGCTAAAATTAGAGGCATAACCTCGTTGGATGCAAAGCACTTCCACATTAACGTCATCGGCGCCAAGAACATGACATTCGAAGACGTTAAGATTGTGGCCCCTGCAGAGAGTCCCAACACAGATGGGATCCACGTGGGAAGAAGTGACGGAATCAAGATTCTCAACTCGTTCATCTCCACAGGAGACGATTGCGTCTCTGTCGGGGACGGGATGAAAAACCTTCATGTGGAAAGAGTTACATGCGGCCCAGGACATGGAATCAGTATTGGAAGCCTCGGAAGGTACAGCCATGAGCAAGACGTTAGTGGTATCAGGATCGTGAACTGCACCCTCCAAGAGACCGACAATGGGCTAAGGATCAAGACATGGCCGTCTGCAGCTTGCTCCACAACCGCCTCCGATATCCATTTCGAGAACATCATCCTCAAGAACGTCAGCAACCCCATCCTCATCGACCAGGAATACTGCCCCTGGAACCAATGCAACAAGCAGGTGCATAGAAAACTAAATGATAAAGCAACTTTCCCTAAACAAATACCAAATTACATGGATGAGTCAATGATTACAAGACGTTTTATTTTTCTTAATTTGTAGAAAGCATCAACGATCAAGCTTGTCAACATAAGTTTCAAGAAGATCAGAGGAACATCAGGTAACAAAGACGCGGTGAAGCTTCTATGCGCAAAGGGACTGCCGTGTACGAACGTGGAGCTTGGTGACATTAACATTAAGTATAACGGAGCCGACGGTCCAGCAACGTTCCAATGCGCCAACGTATCACCAAAGCTGATGGGAACTCAGGTTCCAAAAGCGTGTAGCAGCCCCGTGACGAAGCCACCAAAGTAGAAGCTCCGAATGTATATAAATATATACTCATACACAAACTAAATGTGCACCCTAGTGTATGTTGTATGCTCTTTCTTTATAACTTTTTGTAGATAATATTCCCAAACTTAAGCCTGAATTAATATATTTCCATTGCTACAAAAAGAAAGTTGATAAATTTGTTAATCTCAAACTTGAATCCCATTTAACGGCTCATGCTCTCTCGTAGACCCATTCAGGCCAGGCTCTCTCATGAATTCAATTTTCATTCGTCTTAATGAGTCCTCATGGTAAAAACAATGCCTACATCTAAATGGTACTTAATGCATCTAACTGCATCTCATGCATATGCAACTATCCAATTGATAGCTCCCCCGAAGGACTAGTATATTAGGAGAGGTAGTTTTCATTTTAATATTTTCTTAGTGAAATATCATCGGATGTACTCAATTCTAAATGAATGAGAGCTCTTGAATTGTTTATACTACTACTAGT